ACCCATGCCAGCATGAACTACTTGCTCAAGTTAGAGTGGTTTCACTGGGTTTCAGAACTGGTATTAAGACCAGCAGAAGCTTGCACAGTCATATGAGAAACAAAGTGACCAACTTTTTTTACATCTTTGTATGCAAAAAGAGAGCTGCACAGTCACTGGTGCCGTACAGGTTTACGAAGGCATCTGATTGTTTTTGTTTGGGTTTTTTGTATTTTATGGTATGAGTACAATTACTACTATTACTAGAATTATTACCAGAAATAATTTGCAGTATATCCTTACAACCCACTTGTTAAAAAAAGCCCAAGAAATTCCTGGTACACTTTCAAATATTAACAAAAACATCATAAAGAAAAAGTATCTGTTCCTATTCCCACTTGAAAATCAAATATTTGACTGTTTGAAAATATTTCTGAAGAAGGACACTATAATGATCTAAACCTTTACAAACATTTTGGTCAACACTTTTCAGCTGTGATGGCCAGAGCTGAGGTCTTTTTTTTCTGAGCAGTGCAGGTTCATTAGCTGGACCTTTGCTTTCTGCTAGCACAACACAATGACATTCATCTCTGAAGATCACTCACAACCCATAGTCAGCCAAGGGACCTTGTGTCTCTTCCACACAGATGAAAAGGAAGTTGGATGGAACCTTTCTGCATTTCAGTGGTTCCCAGCTGCTTTCCTAACCCAGGTGGTCTGGCAGCAGTGGCAGGTGATACAGCCAGCAGTTTTCTGACTGCTCCATCCATAGCTGAGCAAACAGACTTTCTTTAGGCTGCTCCACAGCTGGATGGTCGTTCTACTCTTTCATGCTCCTACTGACACTGTGGCTATATCCTGCTTAGGACAGGTAGCCTGATATGGTGAGTACTCATAGCAAGAGTGCTGTTAAGCTGTTTATATACATTAGCAGTTTTCAAACCCTCATCCATTTTCCTCAAAGATAAAGTTGCACATTTGACTCAAAGTCTATTTTCAGTATCATTTATGATCATGTGGAAGACCAAAACCTTATTATGCAGGTATCTAAATAAAGGCACCCTCCCCTGCAAATATTACCTTTGCTTTATTCTACCCAAATAATTAGATTTTTATGGGAAAAGTATGTCTATGGAGGATTTTACACACACAGACACACAGACACAGACACACACACACACACACACTTTTCATTTTTTATTACTTATGACTAAAGAATTAATTGTATGGTTCAGGATCTTTGCTGTGAAAGCACCCTTCTGCATCAGGGCATATTTCCTTTGGCACTCTAAAGATCAGTGAAATATCTACAACAGCCCAAAAACTACACAAAATTCACCTTCAGTTTCCAGAGTAGTATCAGAATTCTTGCTATATTCACTGAAAAGATAATCAAATTTAGATGCACTTGAGAACACATTAGGTTTGGTTTTTTTTATCATACATAACAAATGTCCAAGTACTCCCAGTAATAGCAGAAATGTCATTTCAGAAGAATGTTTTCACAGTGTTCTGCCCTCATCACAATTAGTAGCTACTACCATTTTAACAGCTATTAGCAGTGGATACATGAATAATTCTACCAGATACAAAGTAAAAGGCCAGATACTTGTACTGGACAATTTTATAAAAAATACAATAGCTATTTCGTTATGCTGGCATAGAATCATGTCTACTCATAAGTCTTCCTATATGATTTAGGAAGCCATATCAATTAATAACTACAAAGGATCCTGAGTCATACAAAGGCTGGTTAGAGATTTTACTTTCATCAAATCTCTATAAAATGACACCCATATCCATGTCCACACTGCATTCACATTTTGCATGATCTCTCACTAGAAAGGACACTAGAAAGGAGAAAGTCAAATACTAGAAAATGCTGAAAAGTATGGAGTATTTGGCTTCCTAATCACAATCTAAATCATAAAAATGAGGACCATCTTTAGATACGGGCAAGGGAAGAAAAGGACTGGTAAAAGAGAAAGAAAATCAATATGATAAATTGACTTTTCTAAGCAGTATTAGAACTTTCCATGAGGAATCAACTATTCTTTAACACACAGCTGTGTGAAATTTCTTAAAAAAAGGTTTTTAAAGACATATAATAAAATGTAGGGTGTCTGAATATTGCAGAAAACAATTGTGGTTTTTTTTAGATTTAATACATTTAAATTTAATCCTGATTCAGTGTGAAACAGCAAAATACAAAACATAAAAAATAAAATAATAGAGAATTATAGTGGAAAGGCCAGTTCAACCTTAGAGCAATAATACTAACATTATTAGAATACAATTATAAGCAACACATCAATGGGTATGTATAATATATACATTTGGGTCTTGATATCTGGTAGATCAGTTGCTCAAGGCCACTAAAATATCATTTTGCATCCAACACCAGCTAAATGTGCAAGAAGTTCAATCCAAATGAGCAAGAGTTGAAATTTCTGTGCACTGTGCAAAACACACAGGCTGTAGCGAAATTTTGACTTTGGAATATACTGTTATCAGTGGGAAGACCAGAAACTTTTATGTGCATCTTGCAAGGTATATGGTTTAATCTGTGGTTCTGGAAAAGTCATCAAAGACAATACTGAATAAAATGGTAAAGGGACAGACCATTTCACACTCTTCTGTTCTCTGAAATCCTCCAAGCAATTCATATTTGAGGGCTTGGCTTTCTGCACACTCTTTGGATATCACAATTTTGGCCTTCATTACAGGGTAGAGGTTACATTAAATAGTATTTGGCTTGCTTTTTTATTATAAAAAAAAAAACCAACTCTGCATGTGATTTTTTCTCAGTAGAAATTAAAAATGTGACGCTACATACTGGCATTGAGGTTGAGTTTGGTCAACCGCATAAAATAATACTTTTCACTTTTAAATGCCTTTCATAAGAAGATATTCAAGTGCTTTGCTAACATTAGTCAAGCCTCACAACACCCCTGTGAGGTAGGTAAAATACAAAGGAGGAGGAGGATTTCACTCAGCTTCGACATGATAATGTCTCTGGGCAGCAGGTTCACTAGCACAGCAACATAGCACAAAGGTTTAGGGCATACTAAGGCAAAGAGTTAACAGTACAAGAGCACAGGATTCCCTCTTCTTTTGGTTATATGTGAGTCAAGCTAATGTGCTGCACAGCACCAAACAGCTGAAAAAATGCCCACGTAAGGATTTCATGCACCCAACCCACAGACACCCTCCAAAAATAAAGGGCACACAACAACAGGCACCAAGATCAGTACAACAGCTTAGTTACAGGATGGGTCTGCTAGTTTTTGAGGAGCAGAATACCTTGGGAATGAGAGCCCAGAAAACAATACTGTCTCCACACAACTCTGAAAATATCAGAAGATGCTTGGGTTTGGTTCTTTTCACACTGTTTCATTTCACAACTTACTGAGGATAAGCAACTGCAAGTGTAAAGCATGTTGGTAACTTCCATGCCTTGTGAGGGCAACCAGACAGAATGGCTACTCTCTACTTTACACACATGTACATGGCCATGATGTGGTCAGATGGTTGGGATAGGTTGGGACGGGATAAAGAAACTGTCCCACATCTATATTCTACCTCTGAAGCTGCTGCAATCTGACTCCTGAAAACTGTATTCTTGTGGCTTTTTCCTCCAGTGTGGATGGATATGAGAGAGTATTTGCCCTCACCAGTTTTATCCTCAACATTTAGCTCCAGAGTGCAGACAGTCATTGTACAATTCCACTGTGTCACTGATCTTTCAAATTAAGGATTGAGAAGAAATAAACACGATTAAGAAAAATGTCATTCATGAACAATAGTCTATATGAAGTACAAGGGAACCAAAAGAAAACCACGTTCTCAGTCAGTACAAATAAACACATGTATACCTCCCTCACTCTCTCCACATTTCACTTTTCAATTATGGCATAAATCATACATTCCATATTTGCAGAAGTGTTGCCTATATAGAGAATCTGACCTGTCTATCATAATAAAGCACTACAGAGCTGGTCTACCACATGCAAGACAGCCCTCTTGGGCAATTTTAAGTCTTTGCATGCAAGATATTCTCCCTTTTTCCTAATTTCTATTTGAATCTTATAATACTTGTGCACTGTGAGCTACAAAACTTACTAGTGCACAGGCTGGGTGACCTGCATGATCCATTGTATCAGTGCCTTGTAAAGTAGCTGAGAAGAGGTGGTTCACGGATTCTGTGAAATCAATGCAAAGCTGCCCCCACACACATTTGCAGTTGAAACTACAGAGTTTCATTGATCAGCAGTGAAAAAATGTATATAATTATAATGCAGTGATGATGTCCTTCTCATTTTCTCTCTCTAACCCTGCTCCTGGCCTTTTTCTCTTTCTCCTCTCTTACTATTCTGATTATTTAAATATAGGAATATGGAGACTGCAGATACAACTGGTAATTCAAAAAATGAGCTGGCATCTTTCTAATCATTAAGAGACAATCTGAGTGGTAGACAAACTGGCAGCAAGCGGGAAAGTAGATTTTACATCTCATGCCACCCCAAGCTGGAAGCCTTCTGTATTTCCTTTTCCTTGCTTTCCTTTTTTTCATCGAAATAGTGATTGTCATAGAGTCTTTGTGCTTTGTATAATGCCCAACTTTGATGTAACTGGAACTCACATACAAAATGTGGCTGTTATACATAAGCATGCTAAAATACAGGCAAAGACAGTACAAGCATGCACAAAATAGCCTTTGAAGGATTTTTTGTTTGTTTTTTTCCCGACATTTACATGCACCACTTAATATCATGTTTGGTTGTGTACATTGAGGACTGGGTTTCACAAGCATTCATGATCTTCTCTTCTGAAAATCTTCTTGACAATTTCACAAGAGTTCAGTGTAAAAAGAAAAATCCACAATGAAAAAAACAATAAAACAAAAAACCTTATCCCTGCAGTCTGATCTTGTCTTCATGATTTTCATGTTGAACACTTTTAAAATGTCTCCTCTTCCTCTTGCAGTGAGTCATGTTTAAATGATTGGCTAAAAAGACAGATTACTGTGTCAAGGATTTTCTTAGCCATTGGAACAGTTCTTCCTTATAAAGCCTTTGCCACCGCACATTGGCTTCCACTGTTTCCACAGCACGAGAGAAAGAGACAGCAGCACCCCCTTCGTAACTCTTTATAAAGTTCTTTAGCTGGAAATACAAGTTAACAGGTTAAATTTGCCGCAACTAAAGAAAGCAAGCATTTCCAGTGCACACAAGTAAGTCAGCCATTTAGGACAAACTTCCACAATCAATGTAGAAGTAAATGCAGCATCAGGTAGAAAGATTTAATAGGAAATGTATTAAGACAGCAAACTGTCAATTAGATGTGATGCAATTGCTTCACATTGCACTGGAAGATATTGATATGTCAGTGCTGGATCACATTAATATAATTACCTCCTACCCTCCTGCAGCTCAGCTGCTGCACTGCGTAGATGGCTGCTCTAAATTTTTATTTGTATCTAAGAAACAAAACTTCGAGCAATGGAATTGCTTCTAATTAAGGTTTATATGCAAATATCAGCAGAAGGCAGCCTTGATGCCCTTTGGTTTTATCAAGCTTCAAAACACATTAATTTTATTTTGATGTGCAGATCCTTTCTGGTTACATAACACAGGTCAGTTGCTGAAAAAAGGAATGATGGTTACAGTAAGAAGAGAATGGCAAAATAGCAAGTGGCCATGCATTTGACAATCTTTGAATACCTGAAACATACTCCTTCCCTTATGAGAAAACTTTCATCTTTTTTTCTGCAGACTGAAAAGGTTCTTACTCTGCTCTTGTATATTTTCAAAGTATGGCACCAGCACCTGGATTATTATAACCAGTGGTGCTGGCAGGTTTTCAATTGTCGTTCTTTCCAAGTGAGATTTGCTAGGCTGATCAGCACAATAGATGGCAGATTATGTTGAGTAGTACAAAATTTGATGGTTTTAGTAACACTTATGAATAACTAGTTATTTTTTTATCTTTTTTTTTACCAGTGACACCAAATTTACCTCAGTTTCTAAATTCTGACTTCCAGCAACATCTTTGTGCCTGGGCTCAGAACTGAAAAGGTTGATTCTGCAACTGTCTCATTCCATCACAGCAAAAAGCATGAAAGAGACCTGGAAACTATTAAAATCAGACTTTACCTGATCTCTGTACTTTTTATACCAAAATGTTTACAATACCAGTTTCTTTTAGGGAAGTATAACCAAGCAGCTCACCAATCCTATCATGAAGGCGGAAACAAAGAGTTCAGAAGGCTTCCTTGTGCAGGGCAGACACTCAGATCTGACCAACAGCATCATCCCCAGCTGGGGGTAGGAAACCACCTGTGGCTCCTCCTTAAGCCACTGAGGCCACCAGACTTGAGTACAAACAAATGGTTGGATAACATCAGAGCACAGAGTTCAAGTAATGGTGGTTGTACTGCATAAGAATCACTGTATCCATTTGGAGCAGCATTGAGTAGATGCTAAACAGAGTGTAGCACAACCTCACTCAGGACAGATGTAAAGTTAAAATGAAAAATCATTCCCATCTGTGATAGATTGGCATTTAAGAAACAAAGAGAAACACCTAAGGAAGTTTAGGCTGCCGGAGGCTGATGGGAGTTTTTCTCCTGGCCAATAACTGGCCATTTCTGAGAACTGACAGTAGTTTTGACCATTGAAAAGCGAGATCAACCTATGAACACCACCTTAAGACCTAAGCCTGCGAATTTGTCTCTTTGTTTCCTGGCTGTGAAAGGTAACAGAGCTCCAGCTGGCTCCCGTCCCTTGGCCAGGCCATGCGGCCCAGGCGGGGGCTGGGCTGGGCCCAGCGGCTCCCGGCCGGGAGATGGGGCCTGCAGGGCTTGCCCCGGGCTCTGGCCGGGCCAGGCCGGTCCCTGGCTCGGCTGCAGTTTTTCTGCCGCTGCTGAGTTTCACCAGAGACTGCCGAGTAAGGAGAGAGAAAGACAATGACCTGCGGCGGGCTGAGACAGGACTAGACTTTCTAGAGCAGCCATGAAGAATCTTCCATCACAGACTGCTCCAGCTGCTGCTCCGGCAGAGATCACAGAACCATCTACAAAGCCTGGGCAAGATTTTAACCTTTTCATTACCTAGATGAGACTTGCAGATTAATCCTTTTTTTCCACAGAAAGAGGGGAAGAGAGAGAGTAATCAACAGGTAAAGAGACAACAAAAACTATTGAAGATAGTGAAGAAAGGAATTAAGCTTCAGATGGGGGAGAGAAATAAGGAGATGCTTTAATAAGCTGAAATATTCTTTTGCTAAAACTATGGAGATGGACAATAGTGTTCTGAAAAAACTCCTTTCATTCATGAGAGAGTACTTTGGGGAGAATAGAGTATTTCAAAGTGTGTATCGGAGCAAAAGTAATTAATTGATAAAGCTGAGTAAAATGGTGAAGTATTTGTGATCTTATGTGATGCTGGAGCAGAAACGGAGAAGTGAGAGTTCTTGAAAATTTGTGGCCCTTAAGTGGCAAAGAGAAAACTTCTGTTTCCAGAGATGGTCACAGAGACAGATGAAGAGAACTTTTGCCTTTGAATAACTCATCCTTAAAATGACACCCCTTGACCCATGACCCATAACACACCTCAGAGTGATGTGAAATGGAAGGAAAGAACTGATGACAGAGTTTTCCGGGCAGCTGGCATCAGAAAAATAGAAAGCCATGAGAAAAATGGTTTTATTATGAACAACTCCATAGATTAGCAGAAGAGAACTTCTTTTTCTCTACAAAGACTGATAAAAAGACTATAACAAAGTTGGGACTTCTAACCACCAGGTTTTGTCGTCTCTGTGTTATGTGAACAAAGAGAATGGTTGGGTAGTGGGGAAAAAGGAGTTCTGGAAGTTTTATTCTGGTTTCTTATTCCTGTAGTTTTGTTAATAAACTTTCTTTATTCCTTTTAAGTTTTATACCTGTTTTGCTCTTCTAATCCATATCTCACAGCAAGAAATGAGTACATTTTCTAGTGATTTTTTAGCTAATGGTAAACCACGACACCATCTAAATAAGAAGTACAAATTATTGTGGTGTAATTTGGCCAGCACATACAGTTAGCAGATTTTCTCACATGGAAAATACTGTGAGAAAGAGAAAACCACAGAGCACATTGGCAGCTTCTACTTTCAACGCTGATGTTTTCAAGGACTGCCCTCTGCAGAATAAGCTAATTAAGATAGAAATATCTCATCTTCAGTTTCTCAACCAATAGTCAAGAGAAAAAGACTAATCTTCATATCCAGCCAAGCACAAAGCACTGCCTGCACAATCCCCCTCCTGACACCACCTCTACACACGTGTGTTTTTGCAATCTGTTCCTCGTCCTTGTGCTGCCCAACAGGTTGGTGTTGCAAAGGCAGTTGGGCCTTCAACAGCAGCAGAGAGAACAGAGTTTCTGGACAACCTTGTTATTGTTCCTGCCCTGCTCCCTGATTACACTGAACACAATCTCACATGACAAAAGTAATTTAAAAATTACCTCTCTTAGTTCTCCTTCAGTATTGAGGAATTCTGTGACCCCACTGACAAGCTTTGAATTCATAAATAACGCTTCTCCATACCTACAAGGAAAAAGAGAAGATGCACAGAGAGTTACTGCAAGAGCGAGGTAAACTGAAAATTAGAAAGTAATTTTCCGTAAGCAAGGGAGAAGGCACAGGAATGATTTTGGGGGATCAAGGGAACAGCACTGGAACTGCGTACTGGTATTTCAGGCTAAAAAACTAGACTGAGACCTCCTTCTAGGCTGAAATGTTTGTAATTATTAAGTCAGATGCTATTAAGCAGAATGGGTTCAACTACAGGAACAGATGAGTGCTCCAGAGGAGGAGAGGACCAAACCACCTCCCGCTTAATGGAACAGAGCAGACTAGGGGTGACCTCATGGCAGCCTACAGCTCCCTCATGAGGGGAAGAGGAGGGGCAGGGACTGATCTCTTCTCTGTGGTGATCTGTGGCAGGACCTGAGGGAATGGCCTGAAGTTGTGTCAGGGGAAGTTTAGGTTGGATATCAAGTTCTTCACCTGGAGTGTGGCTGGGCACTGGAACAGGCTTCCAAGGGAAATGCTCACAGTACCAAACCTATCTGAGCTGAAGCAGTGTTTGGACAGTGCTCTTGGGCACACAGTGTGACTCTTGGGAATGGTGCTCTGCAGGGTTAGGAATTGGACTCAATGATCCTTGTGGATCCCTTCCAACTCAGTTTTTTCTGTGATTCTGTAAAATACAGCTCAAAATACAGGTGCCAATGAAGGAGCAGAGCAGCAACTATGGAGAATTGTTCTGAGGAACCCTTCAAGCTGTACCATTAAATCAGACTTTTTGATGTGCTGCAGCCTTCTCTTCATTTTGTATTCATCCACCTCATCTGCATTACAAATGGCCTCTCAAAAACTGAACTGAATCAAATTTTCTTGTTCCAGTACCTGGTAATTAAAATAAATAATGCTGATAGGAATAATATTACTAAAATAATCCCCTGGGCCACAACGTAACATTTCAAAGAATCAACCTGGAATGAAAATTTGAAAGCTTGGGAAGGAATATTTAAAGGATATGCAGAAGTAATCAGCAATGACCTTTGGCAGGCAGTTACTCTGAAACTGGCCATTCAATTCCTCCTGTTCATTTGTTTTTCCACAAGTTTTTTTCAACTCTCAAAATGAAGCATTACATCACTGCTGACCAGATCGCTCCCTGAATTTTACATTTCATGTTGGAATAGTTTGTGGGATTTGTTGTTTTGGGGCTTGGGATTTTTTCAGTCTCCAGCATGAAGAGTATAGTTCCTTTAGAAACCAGAAGTAAGTCAATTTAGATGTCATTCAGCATAGTAAAAGGCACTTGATAAATAGTTATATATATCTACACATGTGTCCAAAGCAGTATTTAGCTAATCTGAACATGACTGGTTTTAAGATAGGGAATCCAGATTCCTGTCAGACAATTTTAAGTATTACCAATAGACTTTACTGAAATTATGTTCATCCGGGGGAACAATTCAATTTATTGTCCACTTTTACAGACTGATTTATAGAAGGAGTTCAAAATTCAAAGTGAAACGAACTGGCACAGTCACAGCTTTCTGTTCTGCCTCTGTTAATCCCAAATTGATTGCCCTTAAATGCTGAGGTACTCTCAGCCACAGTTCTTTCAAAGAGGAGAAAGAAAGCGAAGAAGGACAGCCAAAGCAATAGGTATAGAAAGATGGGGAGGAAAGGGAACTAATATCTCTTTGAGAAGGTTCTGTTTTAGGGAAGGTTTATGCTATATTGCTTGCTATCTTGAGCTCTTACGAGGAGAAATGCTGTTAGAGGTATCAAAAATCCTACTCCCTGACCACTAATAAATGAATTATTCATGGCTATTTCAGCAAGTACATCTCTTTTCCCAAAATTTCAGTCACACTAGAATATACAGACATCCAGAGGCAAACTATGGGAAGTAGGGATTTCATGGTACCTTAAGCACATTTAGGCTTTCTAACAAAGTCCTTTATTATTACAGTCTCAGACATAATTGACTGTTTGGAAAACTGGAAGCTTCTCTTGACGGGGTATTTTGATAAGGTTACCAATCCACTTTAGACAAGCAACCTCATAAAAACAGCTGCAGGGGTTTTATTTTTCTTACAGTCTACTGTAGCCACCACAGTGCAAACAAGAAGTAACAGAATTCTTTGCACTAAAAATGATACCTTCATGCATACCTGTGCTGATTACCGCCCATTATGTATACTTGGTAAAAAGTCAGTCATTTACAGCAATTTCTATAGAAGCTCTGCTGGCAAAAAAGCTAGAAGAGTCACCTTCCAAAATAGTATTTTGCAGGTGTGAAACATAAGAATGAATAGGAAAAGTGTTTGGTCTTACAAGTGTCAGTCTTCTCACCCTTGACAGGAAAGACAACAGCACACCAGAACCAGAAAAACCACCACTGAACTTCCTGGAAACATTCTGGAGACACAGACTCTCCACTGCACCTTTCCTACTGCAGATGTAAACCTCCCAGTGCTCCACATTTGTACAGGCTTTGCACTTGTGCAATCTCTAGAGGCAGCATAGTCCATTTACTTTGGACAGATATAAATGCCTTCCCAAATACTGTCAAGTTCCCAAATGCTGACAAATGATTCAGCACTTGAGAATGAAGTAATTCTTATAGGCAGCTGATGTATTAAATTTTCACACACAGACATGTGCACACAGGATGAAAATGCTTTAGGAGACAAGGTAGTGCATGCTCAGGTAACATGAAGCCAAGTATAGTATTTTCAATTCTCTTTTTCAGAGTTGTAGCAGTCTTAGTTCCACAGATTTCTTACTAAAGACTTGTTAGGCACCTCAGTTTTTAAGTCAACTGTGCAAATTATATGAGTGACTTTGAAGACTTTATACATCATAAATATATACTGGACAATGCGAATATAAGCATCCTGTAAAAATATGAAGGATTAACAATATTTTGGGGCAATTCTAACTCCTTGACATGCTGTGTTTAAAAGTAAGAGGAAACATAGTTATAATTTAATCCTCCTCAGCTATTTCACTTTACTATCTGAAACATCAACACTTTTTATACTAAATTAAATTGAAAATATCACTGAGATATCACCTTATTAAATTAATGTTTGATACAAAGTATTTTAATTTTGAATAAAATTAAGTAATAAATCATAATTGTAGAAAAAGGATGCCTTGGGACAAAATCAACTTGAATCGTAGAATCCTAGAAGGGCTGGGATTAGAAATATCATCCAGTTCCAATCCCTCTGCTATGAGCAGGGACACCTTTCACTAGACCAGGTTGCCCAAAGTCCTATCCAACAACACCTCACCACCCTCACAGTAAAGGAATTCTTCCTATTATCTAATCTAAACCTGCCCTCGTCAGTTTGTAGCCTTTTCCCCTCATCACTACATGGCCTTATAAGAAGTCCTTCTTCAGCTTTCCGGTAAGGACCATTTATGTACTGGAAGGTGCTATAAGGTATCTCTAGAACCTTCTCTTCCCCAGGCTGCACATTCCCAGCTCTCTCAGCCTGTCTTCATAGGTCAGATACTATGATATATAGCCATCATATCACCTTTGTGACTGTCCTTGGCTCTTACTCCAAGACATGCATGTTCTTCTTGAACCATAATTCCAAAATAAAGCTTATGTTTTAAAAACGCAGTAGTGGTTAATCAGAAGCCACAGAATAGAACATAGAATCATAGAACATTAAGAGATTAGAATAAACCTTAAAGATCATCCCATCCCAACCCCCACCCCTTCTTGTGCAGGGATACCTCCTGCTAGACCAAGTTGCTCAAGGCCTTATCTAACCTGGCTCTGAATCCTGCCAATGGGTGGGGCATTCACAACCTCCCTGAACAACCAGTTCCGGTGTCTCAGAACAAAAAAATTCTTCCTAATATCTAACTTACATCTTCTATTAGTACCCATTCTTCCTTGTCCTATCACTACAGCTTCTGAGGAAGACTCTCTCTCTGGCTTCACGGTAGGCCCCTTCAGATACTGGAATATTGCTATTAGGTCTCCATGCAACCTTCTCTTCTCTGGACTGAACAGCCCAAAGTTCCTCTGCCTATCCTTGTAGGGGAGGTACCATAAAGTCCACTTACCAACTTTATGACTGTCCTCTGGACTTGCTGCAACAGTTCCATGTCCTTCATACTCTGGGCACTTGAACTTTACACAGCTCCCAGGTAGGGTCACACAAGAGCAGAGTAGAGGGGAGAATCCCCTCCCCTGACCTGATGACCACGCTGCTTTGGATTCAGCCCAGGGTTGGCTTTCTGGGCTGTGAGGGCACATTGCCAGGTCACGCTGACATTTTCATCAACCATCACCCCCAAGTCCTTCTCCGCAGAGCTGCTCTCAAATCACTTCTCTGTCCAACCTGTGGGTGTGGCTGGGATTGCCAAGACCCAGGTGTAGGACCCTGCACGCTATCGTGTCACTGTTTCACTGAACAGGTAAGGGGCGAGGTATTAATTAGACTGATTCTATTCTCTCTCAGTCTCATCTAAAAGATTCTAATCTATGATTATAAACCAATGTTATTTTCAATATATAACACATATGTACAGCTTGCATTAACTATTTCATTTCACTGCAGTGAATCTTTTTGTGATCAACAGAAACTCAACTGGATGCCACTTTAGAAAAAAATCAACTGCTACATTTTTTCTGGTGACTCTGATTTATGTTGGGAGATCAAACTGAATGACAGTAAGACAAAGACAGTGTTGAGAAAAACGACAAACTCTCTGTTATTCTCTCATTTAAAAAAAAAGGACAATAACAGGTTGTTGATGATTGTTATGAATTTAGATTGCACAGTGATGCATTCCAAGGAAGTGAAATAAATACAATCCAGATTCTATTTAAAATTGTGACACCCAAAAGATTTGGCATGTGGCATAGTTTGTTAAATATTTAATACTTGTCTATACTGCTTAATGTTGTCCACATCTAAAATCACAGGTATTAGCTAGTTTGTCAGATAAACATACTTACTAAGGCAGGACACAACTACAGCATATGTGTTTGTAGCAATACAGATTGTGATGGCTTTATGCCTAAACTCTGGATAAATCCCTGGAGGAACCTGACAAATCATTTGCTATCTGCACTGGGTTGCATAATAGTAATATATCTGCCATCCACTTTCTGTGTAAAAGTCCAGTTCCTGGAATAATCACACCAAAAGCAGATAATTCTTGATTTTTAAACTCTTCAGCATTCTTGGAGCTTTTTTGGAAATTACTTTCAAAAAGTATGCTCCTGCAATATAAATTTCCAAAACTAATTCCAGCTCAAACCTATTTTCCCAGATGAACTTTTTCTAAAATCTCACTACACTATAAAGTATTATCCAAAACAGCTTTCTGAATTTTTAGGAAAACTAAAACTCAGTGTCTCAGTTTGACTCTTACTTTGATGCTGTGAAACCTATAGGAAGTTTGCACCTGTATTCATTGGGCACTGGGATTTAGTTGTTTAAATACAGCATCTTAAATATTCTGTTTCAAATATTCTGTAGTACAACAGTTGACTCCTCACAAGTCCAGAATGGAACAGATCTGCAATGCCTTCCCTGCCAACACCAAAGGTGTGACCTGGCATGGGATGCCTTAAAATCTTGGACACCTGCCTTGAGAATCTGAACCTCATCCAAGTTGTAGTCCTTTTTAATCTGTCAGTATCAGATGAGCTGCTGTGCAATCTTTCAGGCCCTCAGGTTGTCCCTAATGAACTACACAAATTTGTCACTCATTGAATTAATATCAAAATCTTCATCAAAACGGATTTTCAAATGTTGACTGGGCTTCAGAGTAGGAGCACGTAGCACTTGTTCAAAGAGAAAGAGAAGCAGGTGTAAGGAGCAACCTTGTGTCCTTTCTGTTAATCTATTTTTAATTCAAAATGTTGCTCCCTCTATTACTTGAAACTCACCTGGAACACTGAATGGAAAGAAAGGGGATGACACTATATTAACATCCTTTTGAAAATGGAAATGTTTGAAAAGGTGCATTTTTCCCACAGCTGAATTCATATTTTTGAAAAGATTATTTTTTCTATCAGACTTTAAATCAGAAAAATTCCTTCGGGAACTGCTGTTTTTTATCTATATAAAAACAGAACTGCAGCGCTTGACATATAGATAGAATTCATTATTATAAACATAGACACAATACACTAATATATATACAGATGATTGCTAAGAGACAAATGTCTCTATGCGTGTGTGTGATAATCCATGAATAAATGCATTTCTGACTCATATGTAGGTATTCCATATTTAGAGACATCTCCATTTATGGATTAAAAGAGAATGGACTAGATTCAGGAACTTATATAAATACACACCTATACAATACTTACACCAATTATATCAAGATAAGAAAATGAAAATAAATTAAGAATTTTTATCTTTACCTAGCATTTAGTATTTTCCACTTCTCTCTGAAAAACTTCCAAGCAAGATCCCTTCCGTGTGGATTTCGAGCTACATGGATTATCACATCAATTGCATCCTGATCCAGGACAACTTCTGAGTTGAGAGACAAATTCAAAAGTCTAGTGGGAGAAACAAGAACATTTAGTTTCACAAACACATTGTCTAACATCAGTCCATCAGAAAATTCTTGGAAAAAAAAGATCACTTCCAAATTGTTTAAGTCTCTGAGTGAGTTCAGTGGTTTATTTCTATGATTCCAAGAACTGGACACATTTATGAATCAGAAAAATCTTGATGTAAAATTATTTCAATAAAAGCTGACTGCAGTTTTACATGTGCACTTTTATAAAATCTTTAAGATCAGCTTGGTCAAGACATGGTAAATAAAGAACATAGTAACAAAAAAAAACCCAATAATAATTACAGGATTTTAAACATTTCCAATGAACAAAGGAAAATCTAGAATTGAAAAGGTAGTATGTGTCAATTTTCATAGGCATTGATGCAAAAGTGTAAGATGGTTTATACAGACAGTAAGCCTGTACTTGAAACACAAATTTCTTTGTTAAGATGAAAGTGCAAGTGCTGATCCATAACTGTTGAAGTGATTATTAGTAACAGATTCAAATATAGAATATTTTTTACCTGTTGAGCAAGTTTCTGTCATCACTGCAAGTTAAGGCTTCTAATAGTATTTTCTTCTCGGACACTGCTGTGGTAGAATGAAATTTCATCCAAATGAACTCCCATACATCTTCATCCATCAGTGAAACTCCTGTACAGTAGACAATGTCTCTCACATTGAGAGGTATTCTAAAAAAGAAATCAATAATAGGATTGTGGTAAATAAGCAGCCTCCTGATATTGGATACAAAGGAGGATAATTTCTGAGACTTCAAAATTATTGTCCAACAGTAATGCGTTGGTTTTTTTAAATAACATTTGCATTTCTTTACTGCCACTAGCATCCCCCAAGGCCATCCTAATGGGCTTTCCAAAGGGTAACACATGCTTGCCATTCTCTTCATAATGCTGTCACATTTTCAGGAGACTATAAATTATGGTCATGTAGTTCATCAAGTCATAATGTGCCACCTAACCTACAGGTAACATAGGCTCTCCAAATTAGTAGGGGATCTTATCACTCTGTTGCTGGGCTCTGTGCCAAATCTGCTCTTCTTGTCCTTTGCACTGCTTTACAACATGACCTGAGCAGCCAGAAACTCCTCCTTGCTTGTGCTAGAAAGTGCTTCATCTTCATATAGTAATATATAAGTAAGAAAGGATGTGCTGTGACAATGATACTTACATATGATATTGTTGGGAGTGGAGAAAAACAGAAAGATCTGTTCTTTCTATTTTCAGCATATAATACCAGTACTACCAGCTGTGCAATGGGACAGTTGAGAGCTGTGATTACTGATAAATTAATATCAACTCAAACTACAGTTAAATGACCAAGTTCAGACCTAGTATAGTGTGTGCATATGTACAGTTTTCTTCTAAAAAGGTCTCAGCTGGGTTTTCAATTTCCTACTTTGCTTATGTTTCCTATAAAAGCATAGAAGTTGAAACATTTGTACCACTGTCCCATTACTTCAGGTAGGAAATGTGGGCTGGAGGGACTGTCACTCTGTGTTTGGCTAGTACAGACACAGCAGCAGATGTGCCTAGAAGTGGATGGCTAACCCCAGACAGCACTCCTCACTTGTGATGTTTACAGTTTTCAAAATTTACAATAAAACATATCAATTCAATGGACTTTCCCAGCTAGTCCATTTATTTACATTCTAAGGGCCAACACCAGCAATTTTAGCAGCAGTGTCAGTAAGCACAGGATCATTTGCATCTCCGGGAAGGAAGGAGACCTTATGACAGGTGACGGAGCTGATCCCATGACTATAACCTAGACATCACCATTTTCCTTGCTAAGAAAACTCTACTGCCCCCATATTAGTAGTTGTATATTGGCAGTGCTGCAGCAGATCTAATCAATGTCATCCAATCAACTGCTCCAGGGAAGGTTTTAGGTATGTACCTATAAGCTAAGTAATGAGGACAATGTGAAAAAAAAAATTAGACCCTACAAACCAAGACATTGACCATAAATACTGCTTTTAAAAGGCTCACCTTCAGAAACTACAAAATGTACAGCTACGAAACACTACAAACTACTCCTGTGAGAGGCTTGCAATCAGCACTGTAGACGGGGGGGGTCCCCTTGTGGAAATGAAAATTGTGTATGAAAATGTGAATATCCCCAAAATATCCCCAAAGTAATTTCTCTTTAACTATTGACCCTACAGAGAGTCCACTAATTGAATTTTGTCCATTTGTGGGGATTTTTCCTTTCTTACTCGTCCAGTCATTTTGGGCACATATTCTATCATTATCTAAATAGCTGAAATCTCTCCAGTCTACAAGTTTTTTACTATTATAGGTTCCTGGAAAATTGCAGTTCCAAGGCACTAGATCAGCATGTGGATGCATTTGCCCCTTGTATTAACCAAACCAAGTGAATAAAATTACCATTATTTTGGTACTGCTTGGGTTGTAACACCGCAGAACACATCCAGTTGTCAGTAAAACCTCATCTGTGCCTTCAAGGCTGCTCTCATTTTAAAAGAGCTAATATGATTGATGGATACTTCAGAAGAATAAAAATAAACGTTTAAGAGCATCACTTTAAATGACTTTAATTTGAATACTGATCCAATTTATTTAACTTTATTTTTCTTGCATTAGAGATAAGATGGTGAGAATGAAATATGTGGCTAGCCGAGCTCATTTAAAAATTAAACACTTTGGGAGAAAAAGTTAAAAATTAAACAGTTACAAAAAAATTAATTAAAATCATGCTGTGCCTTTACAGGGATTTCTTTTTTTCGTGAGTGAATTATAAGGCTCTACAATGAGCTAAAAATAATGTTCTAAGTCATAATTAATTGGTACATATTTGCTCCTATTTAAAGTATGTTCTAACAATTGAAGATACACTTATAAAATTGGACCATAATTATTTATCTTCTGGGGAAATTGTGTTTCAATTCTTTAAAATGTAAATGCACACAGTTTAGACAGTTCTTTGATTAAGTAACAAGTTTCAACACCATTTAGGGTGCCATTTGACAAAGAAAATTAATCACGAACATTATTCTTATTTTTGCAACAATTTAACATTTAACCTAAGCCTATTTTTCTTGATGACTATATTTATAATCTTGTTTAATAGGTTACAAGGCTCAGATAAGAAACAAGAATGAAGCATTAGTAATTCATTGGCAGATCTGTAATACAGATTCTATTACAAAGAAGAGTATCATACAGCTTATTTTTAAAAACTTCAATCCCAAATGTTCTACTCCCATGCTCTATTACAAACTCCAGGAGTCATGCTGCTGGTGTTATCACACAGAAAGAGGAGGGGATGATCCTCTGCCATAGTACATACCAGGTCTAAAGAGACAGGGCAGAACTCCCCTTTGAAAACCCAGCCACAGAGCTGTGATGGGCTTGACATTCAGATGCCTGTCCCACCTCAGATTCAGGGGACATTAACTGAGGATGTGGCTACTCAAGGCATCTGGGGCAAAGCTATGCACGGTTCCTGTCCTGTGCTCCTGAGTTTCAGGTATTACATACGTCTGACAGAGGCTGGCAGAGAATACATCATCCCTCAAGTGATGGTTACTGCATTGCTCCTTCCCACTCCTACTGCACATCCCTCACAAGTAAGCATGCAACCAGCATAGTCAAGCTCTTCAACACTGATTTTAATGACTGAGTAATGAGTGAAATACTTCTTTGTGGCACTGATCTCTGAGTAGATATGCCTTTGTCCATTTTGGACAGTTTTGCAACAAAAATATGGTTGTTTCTGATCAACTATTTTGCATAGTTGTGGAGAGATCATCCCTGAATGAGAAAATTGGAGACTAATCTATCTAAATTCTAAGGATTTCAAATTAATTACTGCTAATCCATAATCATTGCATATAGGGTCATTTTACTGTGGTGACAAACAGAAGTCAGAAGGTAAAAACACTTCCTGAACCATAACCACAGCTGCCCCATAATACTCAGCTTTATCATTTACAAGATGAAGTCCTCTCTCTGTTTAGACCCAGATGGTCTTTCAGAGTGCTAAGTCCTTGATTAACTCATACACTCAACAGTGTTTTCTTCCTCCTTAAGTTTTATTGACTTGAGTGCAAGATTCTACTCAAATGTTGTAACAACCTATTAATTAGTAAATCACTTCAGCAACATTGGCTTACATTACCTGGCAAAGCTCCAGAAACATTTCAAAATGCATGAATAGCTATGCCTGATTTTTTTCAGTAATTAAAACTTCTAGGGGTTTCAAACACAGAAGAAGGGATTCGCTTTAATTTTTTACATTTATCAGACACTCATGTGTGAAAAAAATTAAAATAACTCTCATTTTTTTCATGTTTGCTGCTAACAATTTCCAAAAATAGCTGCTAGGCATCAATCCCTTGAAAGAACCCAGTGTCTCTTCCAAGAAACTAACAAAAGTAATTAACCTGTTGGCCATGTTCACACAAATACTCATGTAGGCGGTAAAACTTAAGCACATTTCTAAGTTGCTGGAAGACAGTAGCACTACTGTGTCCATGTGAAACACAGAAATAAGATTATCTACCACAAGTAATTAGATACAGAAATAAAGGAGGAAGAAAAGGAAAGAAAAAATGCTTGTTTGGAAGAACTTTTGTTTTTCTATCACCTAAACCAGACATTGCTGAAATAACTTCAATTAATGAAATGGTAACTTGTTATTTACTACTACTCCCTCAGTTCTATGGGGAGTTTTGTTTATAGACATGCAACACACTCCTATACACACAATTATTTTTCTGGTGGCATTTCCACTGAGTTGTTGAAGTGCAGCCAAGTAAGCACACTGACAACTCAGGCAGGTGGATGGACATGAATCCATTATTCCTTGTAGAGAAAACACAAAATCTGCATAAGTAAGTGTGGAGGTTCATGACTCACAAATTTGGCTTGTTGGTTTATCATTGTCCTTGAAATTAAGTGATTCAAGACATTTACTTCATTATTTACACCTTTCTTAAGATGATAAAGTATTATGATAAACCAATGTTCCTAACCATCACAGCATCATGACAGAAGTGAAATGGCAAACAGAAGTAACTGAAAAAGCCCATATCTACATTATTATACTTTAAAAAATTAGATAAGGTTGCTTAGCATTAGTACGCAGAGATATAAGACCCTGATTTCATTACTTAGTAACCAAAAGTTGTTCATTTGTAATGCAAACAACACACGAAGGTGTTCTGACTTGAAACCCACAGACAGAACAGGAAAGTTCACCTCTTACTCTCTTTTCAGTGATCTCTGGCCTGTAGCAGGACATCTTACCCCTCACAAGAGCTTACCCGTTGCCTGTCAACCAGTAAGATAACTGAAACAGGAACAGCTCTCTTGTAGAGAGTTATTTTGGCACCACAGGGTTTTAACACTGGTCTGGCATCTCCCAACTGCCAATAAGCATCTTAATGTCGACGTGAGATCTGGGAGATAAGCTGGATTTCTCACTGACAGACATCTCACTTTACAAAATATAAAAACGACACCAAACTCTCACAAAGCAGAAATGCTCGATGCATTTCATGGAAATGTGTGGAGTTTTTCTCATGAGTAGGGATGCCTGCTTCCCGGTTACTCCCACAGAGATTGAAAGAATCATAATTTTGGTAGTAAGTTACATGTGACTCCTAATCAATACTATTTCTTCTGCTAGCTTTAATACAGGTACCTTG